CAAAAGAAACCGATTTTGGTGTCAATAGAAAAGTTGTAGAGAATCAAAAATTAGGCTTATAGCCAAATTTCCAAAAAGATACACTAAGTAGTTTCGCTTAAAATGCAAGTTTTGTGAAAATTCGTAAATTTGGCATTTCTTGAAAACTAGCTTTTGAATCGTTCTGAAAATTTGGATATAAGCTTGATTTTTGATTCTCTACAACTTTTCCATTGACACCAAAATGGGTTTCTTTTGAAGAAAGTGCTCAAACTGTCACATATGACAATAGCCGGCAGTTTTCAATTCACCAATCCAATATATACATATGAAAATCTACTACATAGCTGCCTACATCCGTCCGTGTTATTTCACGAATTGGGCTCAATATAGGTAAGTGCATTTTCGAAAATAGAATTTCTAATCGGAAATCAACATTGGAAAGGGTGCTTTTTGAAATAAATGCTTTCTAAAGTGCCTGGTTTCAGAAAAGTTTCAGAAAACGATAGTTTCTCAAATTTGATTCAAAAAAGTGTAATAGTGGCGCTTTCTATGCACTTTTTATTAAGGTAAAATTTATTATATTATCCCAATTCACGGGAGTTTCACCGGAAGAGGGCGAACACCGATGCTGTGGTCATCTTGGGGGTGTGGAGTGGTCCCGGTTCGGTCAATACTTAATACCTAATACTTAGGCAAGGGTTTTTTTTTTGCCAGAAAGAAAGAGTTTGAGCTCATTGGCTAGAGCCACAAGGCACGCACGATCAATCGATTTCTATTAGATTTCGATTTTGTATATGGTGCAGTGATCTTAAGAAATAAACGTTAATGTTAAATTTTCTGTAAACTTTAAATCGAATTTTGTAAACATCATGGAAATTTCTTTCAAAACTCAACTAAAGCAAACACTTTGACTGTAGTTTGGTTACGCTAATGGGAACAACAGAAAATAGGGTAGATGGTAGCGATTGGGAACCGGTACAAGAGTAGTTTGAGAAATATCTTGTCTCTAGCTTTAGCTCTTTATTTAAATAATCTCTCGAATCTCTAGCTCTTTATTTAAATAAACTACAAGGTTACTGAAAAGTTCTGTCCGCATTAGTAGATTTGTCTCTATGATAACACTTGTAAAAGCCTAATGTATCTTAAATTTGAATGGTTACACAATTTTTTACTCTACGCTAATAATATAAGCCTAAAGATACGAAAAGTATCGTTTCAAAGACTTTTTTAGTATTAATTCCTGTGAGCCAATACCGTTTTTCGGTTCGATCGCTTGTCAAGTTTCTACAATTCGTTCTCTAAACCAGTTTTGACTTCTTTAAAAGCAAATTTTGATGACCTATCTGAAAAACGAAGCATTTTTCTTTAAAACTATACTTTACACAGTCAGATTGTTTTTGAAATTATCGATTTTGAGAGTCTCAAACATTGTTAGTCGAGCTTAAAAATGGCGTAAATTCCGAATTTCGATAAATCAGACCTCGCTGACACGTCAAATTTGGGCTAAAAGGCAAAGACTGAGGAAAAGCGTTCAGTTGCGTAGCTTTTGCCTTTTAGTCCAAATTTGACGTGACAGCGAGGTCTGATTTGTCGAAATTCGGAATCTACGCAGACGACTTCCTTGCTAATCCATCAAGACAAGAGAATTCAAGTTTTAGTCATGTAATGTCATGTAAGACAAAAGGATTCAAATTTTACAAAGGATACAAATTTCAGATTCTACAGGATGGCTGAAAATTTCTGTCCGCGTTAGTAGATTTGACTCTAGAATAAAACTGGTAAAAGCCTAATGTATCTTAAATTTGAATGACTAAACAATTTTTTACAGATAAACCAAAAAGAGTCAGATGAACCTGGAGATACCAAAAGTATCGTTTCAAAGACTTTTTTAGTATTAATTCCTGTGAGCCAATACCGTTTTTCAGTTCGATCGCTTGTCAAGTTTCTACAATTCGTTCTCTAAACCAGTTTTGACTTCTTTAAGAGCAAATTTTGATGGCCTATCTGAAAAAAGAAGCATTTTTCTTTAAAACTATACTTTACACAGTCAGATTGCTTTTGAAATTATCGATTTTGAGAGTCTCAAACATTTAAGCGAGCTTTAAAATGGTGGGAGTTTAAGGGAATTGCGTAAGATTGAAAAAACCATTAAAAGGAACTTCAAAAAAGAAAGCTCTCTTTAAAACAACACATAAAAGATAAAAATAGTCGAATTTTCTAAATTTGAGTTTCATTTTGCTTTATCTAGGCAAAGTTTTATTATAAAGACACGTCTATTAATGCGGACAGAACTTTTCAGCCACCTTGTAGACTAACCTTGTAGACTTTTCCCTTGTAGACTAACCTTGTAGACTTTTCCCTTGTAGACTAACCTTGTAGACTTTTCCCTTGTAGACTAACCTTGTAGACTTTTCCCTTGTAGACTAACCTTGTAGACTTTTCCCTTGTAGACTAACCTTGTAGACTTTTCCCTTGTAGACTAACCTTGTAGACTTTTCCCTTGTAGACTAACCTTGTAGACTTTTCCCTTGTAGACTAACCTTGTAGACTTTTCCCTTGTAGACTAACCTTGTAGACTTTTCCCTTGTAGACTAACCTTGTAGACTTTTCCCTTGTAGACTAACCTTGTAGACTTTTCCCTTGTAGACTAACCTTGTAGACTTTTCCCTTGTAGACTAACCTTGTAGACTTTTCCCTTGTAGACTAACCTTGTAGACTTTTCCCTACCTTGCTAGGTTTTTTTCAGCCCAACGTGAATGGCATTAGCCATTAAAATTTAAGAAACATTCGGCTTTTACAAGCTTTATTATAAAGACACGTTTATTAATGCGGACAGAACTTTTCAGCCTGTATTACTTTTTTAATTGATGAAATTTCCTTAATCGACGGGTTTTTTAGAACGGGACGAGCCAAGTTCTCTGTATCCGACTACAAGCCTGGCCTGTGCACGCATATCATTTACGCTTTCGCCTACATTAATAAAACCACCTTCAAGATCAAGTAAAGATGGAAAAATAATATTAAAAACGTCAAAAGAGTTATAGAGTCAATGATCCCACTGATTTGAAAGGCTCAAATGGGGGAGTCGGGCAATCATTGGTTAATATCTGAAGAAAAGCAAGCTGATCTAAAAACCTTGCTCTCAGTAGGCGGGGGAAGTTTTGGGACAAAGATTTGGGAGGTTTAAAAAAAACCAATAAAAATCAATAATAATAGACATATTTTCAGGAAATGACATCGAATTTGACAAGACGAAGCACTTTTATCAATTCGATAATCGAATGGGTCCGAAAATATGGCTTTGACGGAGTCGATCTCGATTGGGAGTTTCCTGTGAATAGAAATCCCAAATATGTGGCTTTACTGAAGGTATACAGGGTTTAAGAAAAGTTCTGTCACTTCCCTAAAGTTAGTTTAAAAGCTTAAAAACTCAATTTTGTTTCAGCTCAATGAAGAATATCATAAGAAAATAGTAGAACTTTTAAAATATCTAGCTCAATGACATAGATTACTTATTAGTAAACGATAAAACTCTTTTAGAACCATTTTATTTGACACTTTTTATACGTTTTTATTCAATATTCATAAAAGAAGCTCAAAAATTTTTAGAGTTGATTGGTATTTGCCTTAAAATCTATAAATAGAACTTTTGGCAGAACCCTGTATGAAGATTTAAACCAGAATATTTAAGTATTGAAGGAATTAATATTATACAATGTATTAGACATGGCTAGATACTCCGATAACAGTCGTTCAGAATTATAGATGCAAATAAAAAAGCTATAAAAAAGCTTTGTAGACAAAGTTAGAGCTCTTGTTAAAGCGTCTGTCAAACGTTTGTTTCCAAAATTTTATTTGATATCAATGAATAAATTAAAGATTAAATTCAAAAAGATCATCATTTTTAGCCAAGCACGCTGTTAAGCGTTTAGAAAAGATGTCCAGAGTGACCAAGTACCGAAAATGGACCAAATCTCTAGAGAAAAGGAACCAAATCTATACCGAAAAGGAACCAAATCTGTAGAGGAAAGGAACCAAATCTGTACCGGAAAGGAACCAAACCTCTAGAGAAAAGGAACCAAATCTATACGGAAAAGGAACCAAATTTCTAGAGAAAAGGAACCAAATCTATACCGAAAAGGAACCAAATCTCTGCCGAAAAGGAACCAAACCTCTAGAGAAAAGGAACCAAATCTATACGGAAAAGGAACCAAGTTTCTAGAGAAAAGGAACCAAATCTATACCGAAAAGGAACCAAATCTCTGCCGAAAAGGAACCAAACCTCTAGAGAAAAGGAACCAAATCTATACGGAAAAGGAACCAAATTTCTAGAGAAAAGGAACCAAATCTATTACGAAAAGGAACCAAATCTCTAGAGAAAAGGAGCCAAATCTATACCGAAAAGGAACCAAATCTCTGCCGAAAAGGAACCAAATCTATACCGAAAAACTAAAAAAGCAGTACTGAAATGGTACCAAAAGAAAAAAGAATGTCAAAGAATTTGGAACCAAGGGGGACTTGAACCGTCGACCTTCTGGTTACCTGGAAGATGCACTACCACTTGGCAACTTCTTACCTAGAAGAAATAAGAAAGACAAGGAAGAAAAAGAAAGGAAAGAAGAAAGAAGTAAGCATCTTCTTTTGCCTCAAAACAGATTACTCAACCTTTCAGATCATCGCAGACTTTCAGAAGGCTTTCAGAAGACTTTTCTTCAAACTTTCAACATTTTTATACGATTTGAGCAGGCCTCAAGAACTTATTAGACAGAATAATTCATCAAATTGAGGCCATTAAGAAAAAGAGATGAAATCAGAAAACTTTACTTTGCAAAAATCTTGAACTTTCTTGGCTTTTTGGTCTTGTTTGAATGCTGGAATTTGATTTTTGAAATACTTTTGTGCCTAGTGCATAATTTCAGCTTTGAGGAGATCAAGATAGTTAATAATAGTAGATCATAAGCATTTCACCTACAATTTGGGACCATCTTTGCATAAAATATTAGGTCCTTAAAGCGGCAATGGTTGCCGAGGCTCTTCAATCTGGGAAACCGAGGCTCTTGTTGACGGCTGCTGTGGCGGCCGATGTGGATATGATGACCGGCTACGATGTACCGGAAATGGTCAAGTAGGCGAATATTCAAGGGAATCATCAAAGATTCATCAGTTCTCTCGACTTTCTCAACGTGATGACTTATGACTTCTGGTACCCCTCTGCTAGTGGTGGGGAAACGGGAACGAATTCGGCTCTATATAATAGAGCCGGTTTGCTACCACCACAAAGTCAATACAATACGGTAAATGTTTTGAAAGAAGGTTATAAATTACTGATTCCTTTTGATACATGAGCATTTCTATTTGAGCTTTGCTAGATCTAGATTTGCTTTGCTAGAAAGCTACATGACAGCTCTGCTAGAGATATTTCCTAAGTAAAGGACTGCCACACAATAATCCCTGTCGAAATAGGTATATTTATTAGAAAAGATACGGTAGTTTCATTCATAAAGTTTGTCGTTTTCTTTGGGATAACTAAGCTGGTTGTTCCTGTCGTGAGCGAGAAGCGGAGGTGTGGGAAAAAACATAAACGCGCTTGGCACACCGTTCATAGACAGCTCTCCGGTTCATTTACCCAACCAAAAAAGAAATCGTCAGCTATGCAACTTGTAGAACTGGACTGCTCACGCATGGCACAATAGAGGATTCCCCAAGGCGAAAATTGTGATCGGCATTGAACCCTACGGACATGGATGGGTGTTGAAGGTTGCTTGAACTGAATTCTTTGAGTTTTTGCTTAAAAACCAGAAATGTTAGTCTTAGTTTGACTTTTTGCTTTTGCTTTTTCGACTTTTTGCTAGTAGTAAGCTCTAGGTTTTAACGATGATTTCTTTTTTGTCGAAATTCTAGAAGAAATATCCCTATTTCTGCTAGTAAAGGGTTAGAGAACTGAGTAATAACTGAGTAATAACCCAAAACTCAATAATGATACAGAGTTTTAGAATTCATCTGCCATTCAACCAGGTTCTATTGGCAACACCGTGGCTCCCGCTCACCACTTCAGCGACGAAGTCGGCATGGCTGCTTATTTTGAGGTGATCAATATAGGGAAACAGCTTCTAGCTATTATAATTGTTAAACCTCTCTAGATTTGTGAAATGCTGGCTGCTGGAGCGACGAGATATTGGCAGGCTGAGCAAAAAGTGCCATGGTTGATCATTGGAAAACAGTGGTGGAGCTATGATGATGTGCAATCGGTCAAGATCAAGGTCAAACAGATACATCATGACACCACTAGTTCAGAGAATATAAACCCGTTATCCACAAGATCATTTATCCCCTTTATCCACTTCTATTATGTAACTAGCCCGTTTCTCGCCAGTTTGCTTTTTCAAAATCAATGAATTTCCATTTAATTGGTATTAAAGGGCTCTCCGTTCTTAGTCGGTTTTCGCCGTTCGGTCGTACAGAAAAGTGTTTTTCTTAAATCAATCAAAATTCTAATGGTATTGTGTACTAAAACCTTTGAAATTCCATATTCTTTTACGACACCCAAGTTGCAATATATGACCATTGTACAGGTAAAGAAATCAGCCTGTTTCTCTCTTTTTCATTCTAAACTTCACTCCATCATAAGGTTGAGTCTCAATAAATCGAGCAAATCTCGTTGGATAACTGCATTCAACAGATCGAATGAGTTAACAATGGTTTTCTAGATGGACAACTGTTTCCACAATTTTATTGAAAATTTTAAAAAGGTAGAAGTTCTTGATCGGAAGTTGATTGAAGCTCCGGAGTTCTGGAGTTCTGGCGTTCAGGATTCCAGGAGCTCAGGAGTTCAGGAGCTCAGGAGTTCTGGAGTTCAGGATTCCAGGAGCTCAGGAGTTCAGGAGCTCAGGAGTTCTGGCGTTCAGGATTCCAGGAGCTCAGGAGTTCAGGAGCTCAGGAGTTCTGGAGTTCAGGATTCCAGGAGCTCAGGAGTTCAGGAGCTCAGGAGTTCTGGAGTTCAGGATTCCAGGAGCTCAGGAGTTCAGGAGCTCAGGAGTTCTGGAGTTCAGGATTCCAGGAGCTCAGGAGTTCAAGAGTTCAGGATTCCAGGAGCTCAGGAGTTCAGGAGCTCAGGAGTTCAGGAGTTCTGGAGTTCAGGATTCCAGGAGCTCAGGGGTTCAGGAGTTCAGGAGTTCATGATTCCAGGAGCTCAGGAGTTCAGGAGTTCTGGAGTTCAGGATTCCAGGAGCTCAGGAGTTCAGGAGTTCAGGAGTTCAGAAGTCCTCAAGGAGTTCAGACAGTTAGATTGAAAGTCGCAAAATCCTGGCTACGCATATGACACAAACAGACAACCTTTCAGAGTATAAGATGACAGAGATTGTTTTAAAAGTACTCTCACAATCGATCACCCTTTTCAGATGGCCTACATCAAGGCGAATGGCTTTGGTGGAGCGATGGTGTGGGCATTGGATCTAGATGATTTCAATGGGAAATGCTCGAATGGTGGAGGGAAACTCTATCCAATCATTGCCACAATTGCCCAGGAGTTGGCCGGAATCATTATTTGAGTTCATATATTGACAGATAAACATTCTAATTGTGCATACCGTCAAAACTTCTCGTGTCCTTGGGCCTTGCTAATTTTTGTAAGGTTTACTGCTTGACAAACAAAATAAAGAACGGCTAGCTAAAAAGAATTCGAGCAAAGGTCACTGGAATTGCTGAGAATTGAAAAAATTATCAACTTTTCAACTTCCAACAACAATGGAAAAGATCAAGAATGAGTCAAGGATGAGTCAAGGATGAGAAAGAATTTAAAGATCACTTTTTTCATTTATATTTGCTTCTGACTTTCATAAATCGACACAAGCAAGTCAAATTCAACAAGTACAACAAGGAATAGAAAGTTCTTTTAATCTTTTTTTGGATTAATTGAACTTTAAATCCTTGTTGTCCGTTTCTGGTCAGAATTTTTGAAAGATTGATTTCTAGTTTGATGTCACACCGAATTTCTGATAGAATCGCTTTAAGCTGAAAGCTGGAAAATTTAGCTGAATTTAGCTGAATGGAATTTTGCTTAGCTTCCAAAATTTCCCTTTAAAAGTTCATAGTCCGTGTTTATGAAAAGAGAATTTTCTTGCTTAAATTCTTTTCCCAAAAAAGTGTCTTAATTTTTTGATGATTCAAAGTGTTTATCAGCTTACCACAATGCCTCAAAAATTGCCTTGAAAATGACAAAAAAGCCTTATCAATCAGCTCAAGGAAAGCGGAGAAAGGCTTTAAATTCGGAAAAGTTCATAAAATTTTGGGCATTAAGTTTCGCAAAAGAATTTCAGAGAAAGTGAAAGCTGATTTTGCTGTTATCAGAGGTTCAGAAATGTCCATGAATTCATTTGCATTCATTCAACGACGAAACAATTTTGCCGCTCCTATGCTCAAGGAAATATCATTGGTAATCAGAATTTAACTTTATACTAGACTAAGGTTAGAATTAGAGCTTAGAATTAGAGCTTAAAATTAGAGCTTAGAATTAGAACTTACAATTAGAACTTACAATTAGAGCTCAGAATTAGACTTTACAATTAGAATCTAGAATTAGACCTTACAATTAGAGCTTACAGTCAGACCTTACAGTTAGACCTTACAATTAGACCTTACAATTAGCGCTTACAGTCAGACCTTACAGTTAGACCTTACAATTAGACCTTACAATTAGCGCTTACAGTCAGATCTTACAGTTAGACCTTACAATTAGACCTTACAATTAGAGCTTACAGTCAGACCTTACAGTTAGACCTTACAATTAGACCTTACAATTAGCGCTTACAGTCAGATCTTACAGTTAGACCTTACAATTAGACCTTACAATTAGCGCTTACAGTCAGACCTTACAATTAGAACCTACAATTAGTAATATTCTAATAAGGGTTTTCTTAAGAATTCCGTATGTTCCAATCTAAACAAAACATGCTAAGAATTTCTTGAAAGTCAAAACCAACCCAAACCATTTTACCTAGAGAAAAAACTAGCTTTGATTGCTGTGGTATGCAAGTTATGCAGGCTTTCTTTGTAAAAGTTTCTAAAATCCTTTTTCAGCTACTTCTTTTCACCTTTTCTGTGAGGAGTGATCATCCAAATACTCCCCAAAGCCAGAAAAACGAAAAAATCCGGTCTTCAGCCGAAATTTGTCGTCGCGAGTTGGGCCATCATGATCTGACAACCTTTGAAGGAATGGCTGGAATGGGATGGGATAATTTATTGAATTTGGAGATGGCTGAAGTACTCGATTTGACTTTCGAGAAATGTCTGACCACCCCAGATGGGAAATATCTCGTGCCCGATGATATGCAAATCTATCCGATCAAGAAGATCAACTTGGTCAAGGTGAGAGCTTGTTTGCTTGGAGAGGAAAGAGACTTGGAGACTTAGAGTTTTGACTACTCTAGTGAGTGACCTTCTATCTAGAGAGCACTTTGATTACTACTATGCTAGCCATTTAATGACAAGATCAAAGTTTCAGCTTCATTTAATGATCATTTTTGGTTTTCGCTTACCCATTTTACCCATCCAAATTCCTATTTGTAAATAAATATTCTTAAGGACAGATTTTAATTCTACAAGAGCTAGAGAAAGATAAAAAAAACTTAATTCGGTGATCAAAAAGTAGCAAAGAATATCAGTTTCCACAACTGTTAACTTGAATAAAATCTTATTTTTGTTATCTTTTCTTTGTTAATTTTCTTTATTTATTGAAATATATTGGGTTGTCCAGTTATGAATGCGCGTTTTTTACTATTTTGTAAATTTCTCAAGATACCGAAATCAAGAAAAAGATATATATGAGTATTATTCGAAAGCTGAAGATCTCCTCTACATTTTGATATAAAAAGCTTTTGAATTTGTTCAGCTTTTGGGAAAATTGACTGCACAGAAGAAGAGGTGGCCAAAAAAATGGAAGGGTGCCTTTGGATCAAGTTTTGGCTCCGCTCAAATTGAGTTAACCGTTTGATGTTTGGCCAATAGATATATCAATACAATTTTTTTTAAATATAACAATTTCAGAGCATCTTTACTTTTCTTTTCTTTTCTGGGCGGTTATTTTACACCATAAAACTTGAGGAACAGCTAAGCTGGAATGGAAAATTTCGAAAACGACCTCTCCCTTTGTGCAGTCAATTTCCGAAAAAGTTGAATGAATTCAAAAGTTTTTTTTATTCCAAAATGTAGAGGAGATCTTCAGCTTTCGAATGATATATAACACACATATACATCTGTTCGATATCTTGAGAAATTTAGAAAATAGTAAAAACGCGCATTCATAACTGGAAAACCCAATAGAAGGGAAAATTAAAAGAAATTGTATTAGTTTCGTTAAAATTACAAAAAAATCGATCTGAAGAGGTGGAAATCAGATGGTGATGAGTCTGGACTATATGGCGGACGCGGTAAAACCTTCCATCCTCATTCCTCTAACCCCATACAAGAAGCTTTCGCTGTGTGAGCTGGCGCGTTGTCACGGAGAAAATTGACAGTCGAAGGATTTAAACCCTTTTAAAGCAAAATTATGTTCCGCAGAATCATTCGGTCATAAAGTTGTTCTCCAAAAGTGGAACAAAAATCGCAATGTGGCAGCGTTTTTGCCCACCTTGAAATCGTAGGAAGACAAGCGTGCACAACAGCACAACACCGAGCACAATGCTTTTGATTCATCATGATCTAAAGCAAATATCAATTAAAAAGTGAAAGCTCTGACTTATTAATAATAGAAAAAACGTAAAAATAAAGTAAATCTTCCCAGTAAAAATATAAAAAGGTTTTAAAAATATAAAAATAAGATTTCCGATTTAAAAATCGAATATTTTATACCAACCGAAATTTCTTTTGCATCAATTTAATATAGGTGTCGCTCGAGAAAAGCCTTTTAACAGAGATGTTGAAAACTTCTATGTTAAATATCCTGCGTTTACGTATGGGCAGCTAATTGTTGCAACATTTTGATCAGCTTAGTCGGTTCTATAACTTCTCCTTGGGCGTCTGTTGATCGTTTGGCGATTGCGAGCTGGGGTACTTCCCTTGTAAGGTTCACCCGGAGCCCAGAAAGCCTAAGACTTCCACAAGTGACCAGCTGTTTAGTTGGAAGTTACAGGTTATTTTCTCATCTTCTAACCGTTCTCTGGCAAGATTGAGATCAAGTCTTGAATGGCTAAATGGGTAGAGTGCCTTTCTAGAGCCAGAAGTCAAGGGCTCGATTCCCATAGTGGTAATCAATGTTCTCAAACAGCTTCCGACTTTAGATCAAAATGTTTTCTAACACTTTTTATATTTGATCTTCTAGTACTTCTTATCAAATTCAGATGGCCAATTTCCACGAGCACTACCAGAGTTATTTCACCTCGAGAACCGAAAAAATCAACCTGGAGGCCGGATATTCGTATGGGCATTTTGGCATCTCCGGCTCCTTCAGCACGACGAATCAGGAGTCGAAAGAGCGATTCGCCATTGAAAAATCCTCCCTCTTACACACCTCTTTGGATTACAAAGCCTACACGGCTATGGTTCAAGGACAAACACGACTACATCCGACTTTCAAGGAACGATTGCTTGCCATCAATGATGCGTACATAAATGGGCTACCATGGAGAGCGAGATATCTCGGTATTTTAAAGCTAGTTACTTTTGGTACTCAAAAAACTATGCTTGATATGTGTTGTGACTGTGTGAAGTCTAATTTTATTAGATTTGATAACTTTAACTACGATGAACTTTGTAAGTCTATTAGGTTGGCAAGTTATAAACAATCGTCTTTGGGTAATGTGTTTTCTGAAAAAACGGCTTATCCAATGAAAAAACGGCTTGCTTAATTCAAAAGCCCTATCCTTAATCTACAAAATGGCTTTTTTGAATTTTTGAAAAATGCTTTACTTTAGCACTTTTTCAGGCATTTTAATGTAAGAGTTTAAAATCCTGATTTCTAGCATTCATGAGCTATTATATTTTTGAGCTATTTTTGAGTGATTGCATACTTTTTAAAATAAAACGCTTCATCGATTACATAGTTTCCCAAAATTTCAGAACAATCTAATCTTCGGAAGGTTGATTTTCAAATTAGGCTCAAAATGCACTTTTGTGCTAATTTAATCCATTTTCGTTTGAATTTAAGCAAGATTTTTAAAAAAATGAAAGAGAACAGTTCGATCGATTGGATTTTTGGCGATCAAAAGTTGGCGTTGAAGTGATCAGAAATAGAACAATCCAATCGATCGAACCGTTCTTTTTCATTTTTTTAAATCTTGCTTAAATTAATGCTATTGGGTTGATGCATAATTATCCGGACTTCTTTTATAAATGATTTTATTTAACAAAAAATAACATAAATAGTTAGAAAAATATGTTTAATTGATTATTCTGGAGCATATTCACCGCCTACATCAATAACTGATTGCCATTTGCTTGGAAGACGATCGATTCCACGAGCGAAGAATAAACGATCTTTGGAGGCAATCCACGCTTTAACATCGTCTATCAAGTCATCCAAATCGTTGTAGATCTTATTTGTTTGCCAATT